GTTATAAGCTGGTTCTGGGCTGGTTCAGACTCTCTCTCTCTCGCTGTGTTGCAGCCTCTGGGAAGTGGGCGGGACATCCTGAAGGACCGCCCCCAGCTGCAGCGCTGGAGAAGCCGCGTCCAATCGGCGCTCGGCGATTCGTTCCTTGAAGCTCATGCTGTTCTGCTTGCAGTCAGAGACCGCAGGAAGGGGAGGCTGTGACATCATAGAGGGGCGGAGTTTCTTCAGCACCAAGAATATTAGATTCTGTCAACTGAAAATTATAGGCTCTGATTGGCTGTTTGATATGAATGCTCCCCTCTGATTGGCTTTTTGAGATTAATGCCATTGGCTGTTTTACATGAGTAATTTCTTTCAGCACTATAACACTTTATTTTGATAATGGCCCATCCCAACCATCCGCTAAGCCCCGCCCCTGAGCTCCACCCCCCCACCACAATCCTCTCTTCAGCTGTGGAAGCGCCTTGATTGTAGGCGGGGCTACAAATGAGAACCGGACGCCCTCTTCCTTCCCACCGGAACAGGAAACAGGCGTTGCCATGGCAACACAGTGAGACGACTGTGAATGGTTGTAGTTGTGTGACATGAAATCAAACCTTTCCTCTTTTTTCTAAATAAATCTGTTCAGGCAAATCAATGAAGTCTATAAATAATGTAATATAACATAGAAATTTATCACAATAAAATGAATGTGTAAATGGAGCAGAATAATACAGATGGGTTAAATGATGTTCATGTATTAATGACGTTGTTGTTATGGTAATTACATGTTGTTTAAAGATTTCCCAGCCAGACTGTATCACCGGTCCATGTCTGTTAATGCTGTAGTAGTTTCCTGTCTGCAGATTGTGAATGAATGATGTCATAAACTTTATGCTGTTTCTGTGCATCAGCCTTTAAATCTGACAGATTTAAAATAAAGCTAAATAAATGAACCAATCTAATGACTCCACAGAGCTTCAGGTTCTACACCAACCCTCTGATACATCAATCCCTGAGTCAAGACTTTTTTCCAATGTGTTTTTACTCTTCTTAGAGCATGAAAAAAATAATGGACTTTTTTTTCTTCAAAAAATTCATTTTTTTAGGAAGTTACATACGTTTTAATTCAGTTCTATTCAGTTTATTTCTATAGCTCCAATTCNTATAAAGTAAAGAGAATTGGTCCTAGCACTGATCCCTGTGGTACTCCACAGGTAACCATGGCAACATGGGAAAGATTTATCATTAACATCAACAGAGGTTCTTAAGCCCCGCCTCTCTCATCATCTTGACTCCACCCACTTGCAGGATGCAGGAGACGGTTCCAGGAGGAAAAGAGGAAGAGGAGATGATGAAGAGGAGGAGCCTCCTGCTAAGAAGATCTTAGCCCCGCCCCCTCCATCCCTGTGAATGTGAAACTTCAGATTCTTTTATTTCTTCCCAGGAGCTTGTTGAAGTTCCTGGGAACCGGTTCTTGGTTAAACCTCAGGTTCTGGTTCTGGTCCTTAAAGCTTTGACTCGCTGCAGGTTCTGCTGTTTGAAATAAAGACTGAACAGAAACAGAAAAGGTGTCTGCAGAGTTTTACTGACGGTAGAAACCTTCTCTGATCCTTCAGTATTTACTGATTAGCTGCTGGAAGACATCCTGGTGATTAGGGGAGGAGCGACAGGAGGAGAGCCAGGTACCACGTCACCATGGTTACTGCCGCCATCATCAGCATTCCTCAATATCATCAGAGATCAGCTGATCTGGTCCATCTTGGACCGCCGTCCTTCCAGGTTCGCCATCTTTAAGAATGAGGCGCCATTTGCAAACTGCATTGATATTGTATCACTCAATACTGCCCCCTGCTGGACATTTAGAGTCACTACAGGCAGCCGTTCACATTAAACTTTTAAACTTTTTTTAATTGATGACCTGTAATCTGATTAAAGTCACTGTTTGCTTTAACATATAGTTATTATTTTATATCGATACTTATTGAAAATATGTTTGATATTTTTAGACTCAATCCATAAATGTGAACATAGAACAGGAAAACATAAGAATGGGAATAAGGATGTTTGTGGTCTAGGATTAAATATTTTAATGTTTTCATCATAATTGATGAGTTTATGAATTTATGGAAAATGAAGAAAAAAGAGAAGAATAACAGAAATCAGCTTCTCTAAGAGAAATAAGGTAAGAAATGTGACTCATAAAATGATGTGTTAAAGATTAACATTAAATTTTTAATCTCTGGTTTCATCCTGAAATTACTGGAATTAGTATCTTCATACTAAGTTAGAACCCTTATTT